TATATTTTAATCACCTGATTTTTACTTCTTATATTAGCCAATCAGAATGCAATGTTCTTATATGGAGGTATATGTAACATAAGTGTTCTTTAAAATTATGTTCTTGTTCTTTTATAGATTGTTTTTTTATAAAGATAAATTTATTAATAATTGTATTGGTTCCATAAAATAATGTTCTTTATAAGAGATTGTTCCTTTATAGAGGGTTCTTTTATGGAGGGTTGACTGTATATGAAATAATTATTAAAACAATTCTTATTTATAAGACATAAAAGTAAAATTATTTTAAATATTACTATTACAAGTACTTTTGAGTCTTTAATTATAAATTGTTATTTAATCTTTTTACAAATAGTTACTTAGAACTATAAAAAAGTTTTATAATTTGAATTTTAAACTACAATATTTCAAATTAGCTATACTATTTAAAATTATATAGATGTTATAAGAATTTTTTAAAATATTAATAAAAAAATCAGTGGGTTAATAGTATAGTGGGTAGTGCTTCCTGGTCTCCAAATGCATGTCCTTAGTTCAATATCCATAGGGGGCAAAATACATAAAATTTACCTTTTATTTGTAAGTTTACCGGTTTTCCTACAAATGTCGTACTCCAAACATCTAGATCCTGACCAAATTTATTTAGGCTGTATAAAGATGGGATCTCTGGTCTTCCTGACGATCGTGGATTGAAAACAGGTTGAAGCAGGAAAGGTTGCACGAGAAAAGGCTTCTGGTTTAACTCTGATAAAAATTCACAAACCCCCCTGGTATGGCAGATTCTGTAGCATAAAAGAACACTCTAGCCTGGGGCTATCCTAATCTGGTGCTTGCTTAAAAGAAGAAAATCCAATGAAAAGGGAAATTTGAAGCTACAGGTGATGACAAGGAATATAGTATCTTCTTTGAAGAACCAGGCAAAAAGTATTGAAGGATTATCCGAATGTTTTAATCAATCTTAAAAGATATACGCTCTAAATAACTACTGCCAGAATCTAGATTAGGTTAGATAGTTTAAAACTAGTGATAGGATTTCTATCTCCTAAAGATCCCATCTGGTGTGTGGATCCACTTTCTGGATGAATAAATCTATATAACTGGGTAAGGCTATAGGTGGGAGTGCGAATTAACTTAAATAGATCTTGTAATTATATAATTGGATATAAATCACTCAATAAAGTCATGTGCTATTAGCACTCTTTACCTGAAAAAAAAATATTAATAAAAAATATTAAAAAAATATACTAATAATTAATAAAAATTTTGATATTATTAACATTGTTTATACTTATTTATTAATTTTATTTTTTAATATCAAATTGTTTATTATTAAAAAAAATGTCATGTCTTATAAAATCTAATTATATATTTTTTATTTTAGCTTTAAAACTTTAAAGTTATTTACTATTGTTTGTTTTATTGTTTAATATTAACTTGGAGTTAATTCCTATTTATAACTTTATAGGCTTATATAAATTTTTAATTTAATAGAATATTGGATTTTTTATTTATAAGTTAATTAATAAACAAAATATTATATTTTTTAAATAAATTATTACTTTTTCATAGTCTTGAAATTATTTATTAAGATTTTAATTATTATATACAATATATTTCTTTGTCCATTGAAAAATATTTTGACTAGCATAATTTGAAAAGACAATATCTAATTTGTTAATTATTTTAAATATTTGAACAAAAAAATTTTTTTATAAGAGTTACAGTATAGGATATATTATTTAACAATATATTTGCTAACTTCCAATATTTTATTTCTATTTGCTTAAAATAATTTTAAATAAATATATAGAAGTGTGATTTAGATTATTAAAGTAATTTATAAAATTGACAATTTGGCTTTTCAATTAAATTTTAATACATTGATATACAGTATATTTACTTTTTAAATATAAATATTATTGTATATACAGTATACAGTATATAATTGTTATTTTTTATATAACATTTTATATATTTTCTTTGATTTTAAGTATTAAATTTTAAAGTAATTATTAATTTTAGTCAAATTTAATAAAAGAGGACTCGCGAATATCACAAATTAATTTATTAATATGATTTGTTTTTTTCAGAGCCGAATTAAATTAGTAGATAAAAATAAATAAATCAGATAATGAAAGATGTTTAATGTATTTTTTGATAGTACATAAATATTGATAAAGAATTAATTTAATACAGTTTTATTATTAAAAAAATAATCTACCCATTGTATTATTTTATTATTTTAATTAAATAAATTTGTCAAAAGAAAAAGTAATATCATGTAGAGAAAAATCAATCTTTAGATTTTATTTTATTTTATTTATTTTTTTAACAAATTTCAAAACGGATATTGGAATCAAATGAAATTTGCGATCAAAAAATCTTTGATACATTGTATTTTAAGTTTATTATAAATTAAAAACATTTCCGTTATATCGAGTTTTTTTTTTTTTTTTTAAAAAATAATATTTCATGCAATCATCAAGTTGGTCAATTACTGTATATTCTTTGGAAAGAAATTTGAAATCTCACAGAAATTGTTCTCATTAAGAAAATGATAATTTAACAAAATTTATTATTAAAAATAATACTGTATGTACTAAAGACGGTTTTTTGTTGTTAGAAAAAAAAAAAAAAATCCATATAACACGAAGATTTAGACCCGTATACACTGGATGTCATAAAATAATAGATAATAAATAAATGAGCATAAAAACACTGCACGGTGTGTCTTATTGAAAGTGAACTTATGGATGGATATACAGTAATTTACAGTATTTGACAATTTTTAATCGATTACAAAAAAATAAAAAAAAAATGGCATGGATTAATTTCGATTATTTATTTATCGTATTTTGTTTGGTATCTTCCAACGGCCTATTCATGAAAAGAGAATTTATTCCATTGAAGGACATAACATCGTTAGAAAAAGGATACCAAATACTGTATATTGTATATAAAAATTTCGCGAGATTTTTATTTTTTTTCATATTAAACAGTTATTCTATTTTCGCTTAATTCATTTGTTGAATTAGTTAAAGTTATTTCTTAATGGTGTCGTCTTTCCTACACATGACCCTCATAAATTTCATTCTTGTGTCATATTCCGACATTTCCCGCTCGAAACACTCCTCCAACATATCCAAAAACACCTCTTTGGAAGTTCCCATGCACATTGATAGATTTTCAGCATCTAAAGTATAATACATTTTAATGACCTCCTTAAGTAACAATCCAAGTTCTACCTCATATTTGCTTTTTACGTTGGTATTTTTGATTGAGAAATCACTATCGAAATTTTCGCATCCCGTGTTGCATCTTCCCGTGTCATCATTATCATCGCATTTCCCCGGCAAATCATTATCAATTTCAAGCTCATCTACTATTTCACCTTTCCATTTTCCTAAAAAGGGATACGCGACAAGTTCTTCAATATCTTTGAGACACTTGTATGGTGATAACCATTGTTTTAATAGATTTGGTAATCTCGGGTTTATGCCGGCATTGTAGCATAATTTTTGTAAACTTCCGGAAATGCGTTCAATTAATGGACCGCCATTTATTTGAACAACGTCAACCTCGTAAAATTCTAGCCATCCATTAGGTTTGAGAACGCGGATTAGTTCGGGTATCTAGGTTAAAGAATGTGCGTGAAAAGGTGAAAAACAAAAAATAAAGGAGAAAACTATAATAAGAAGAAATCCAGATATTCGGATAGATTACCACAATATTCTGCCATTGGTCATCAGTAAACGAGGCATTCAGGAATGAGAGATGCACATAGTCGAACTCGTCCGAAGAGAAAGGTAATCCGTCCAGCACGTTGGCCTTAATAAAGTTCGAATTGAACGGTTTTATTTGGGATGGGAACACAGGTGACATATCCACTCCAAAGAATTCCGAATTCTCGTATTTCGAAGATAATTCTAATACCCATATTCCCGTGCCACATCTTAATTAACAAGGAATGCCAGGTTAGTATTTTTTAATGTCAGCCAAGTTCACGAACCGCATATTAATGCATACCCAACATCTAACACTCTGGAACCTTCTGTTAGCTTCTTTTCTATGGGAGCCGACACATTGCACTTGAAAATATGTTTAAAACAATAATGTTGTAGTTGCTGCCGGTCGATTTCCTCCATATCCGAGGATAGTAAATAGGAAGCAGTCTCCTCATTATGATATCGCCTGCCGTTAATGTATCGAAAATCTTGACCGTCTTGAGGTTTCTTTTTTATACAGGATTTATTATTCCCCATTGTGTTGTTTTCTGTGTTTGGATGAGAGTGAAAAATTGAAAAAAAGTTTTTAATTGATCTGACAAGATTCGTGACTTTTGGTGGAGATGAAAAAGAATGTTTTTTCTTCATTACGTTTTTAATTTAAACGTGCTATATATAATAAACAAATATTAACCTAGGATAAACGAGAGTGAGTGCAAGGATCGCCAAATTTTCTGACCCTTTGCGAGAAAAAAACCAATGGATTGTGGATTTTTGGTATTTAAAAAATAAGTTCCATCTAGAAGATGGTAATTTTATGCGATCCAGTAATTAAATCGACTATTACTTAAATAGAATTTGAAGGGTCTGGGGAATTTAATAGAAAATCAGATATTGACTGTGCAAAGATGGACCGGGAATATAAAGTTCATTTGTCTTGCATTGGGAACTAACACAAGGCGTAATGGACCGGGAACAACAACAAGGCACAAAGCGCCACCAACCAATCGAGATTAAAAGAGGAAGTTCTATTCAATTTAATGCTTACCGTATATACTGTAATAAAGTAGTTCTGTCCCTCCTTACCACGTGTCTCCTATGATCTATATTCGGTTTTACAGTACTGTATATCACTAGTAAATTAGTGGTGTGCGAACAGAAAATCAAACGATATAAAAATTCGAAAACCGAGTGATTTCGTAAGTTTCCAGGAAAAAATAACCAGAAATTTAGAATCATATTTATAATAGTGACACACGAATATCTGTTTGCTTCGAGCATATTACATTGTCGAAGGTTACATACAGTGGTAAAGATCGACAAAATAATTATTGCCGAACGACATCCAGTTTGGGCAATAATTCTATAAACGCTAATTCCGAGTTTCGATGTAACATCGAAGACCAATAATCCTATTATCTCACGGAACATAGTACATTTTTTTATAAGTGATTAAAAAAACTGCTGATTAGATCGTCCAATCGGGGAACCAAATATTCTATGGTACGGTGCAAACTTTATTAGTCACGTAGGACGATTTTTTTTTTTTTTTTTTTTTCAATTGAAAAAGATTCTGCATCCAATGAATGCGTCCTATTCTCGCCATCGTATTAACTTTGATTTTTTTTTTTCGTTGAACAAAAATGCATGTACGTGCGAATTTAATGAAGAGAACCGTGCGATTCAGAATAAACTGCCTATTGCAAGCAAACAAGAAAGTCAAGGCTTTCTGTGAAACGAAATTGATGTGCAGTAATTGCCAAAAAAACTCACAAGGTCGATCACAGGAGCAGCGTTTCATTGTTTCTTTCTTATCGCTTCTCTTGGATGAATCTCGACTCACGTTGGAAACCTCGAAAGGTAGCTAATGAGCAAATAGATAAGGATAGATAGAACTCGTATTCGTCAGGAATACATTAAAATTTCCGGGTCACGAGAGGAATACTGTTAAGCTACATACAATGGATAATCATGTGAAAATTTTAAGAAATCAAAAATAACGTATATTTTTTTGTTAAATAAATTAATGATAATAATGTTATTATTATTCTTTTTCTTTTTCTTTAACATTCTTAGATGGGTTATGCATAAAATTTTCATATTTTCTGATTATTAAAAATATTACGAAAAACAAAAAACCATATATTTTGTGTGATTCTTTTTGTTTTGTTTTGTTTATCTTGATAAATGCGTTATTATGAAATTTTTATAACATATTTTTGGTCATGTAATTCTAATTCCAATCATAATATTGGTTATTATTTTAATTCAAATTTTATTTTCGTTTCTGCTTGTTACGTGAAATACTGTATATAACAAACAAAAAGAAGTCGCGTGCCAAACTCATCGTATGTATTTTATGTGGTCTTGTGAATTAAGTTAAACCCGATTGTGTTAATCTATTCATAAATGGCAAATCTCTTTTGGAAAAGAAAAAAAAAAAAAGTTCATACTCGTACACATTTTTGTAATAGCAATGTCCGTGCGTCTCTCCTGGAGACTTGTGAGATGGCGCAATTAGGTCACACGAATTTTAATATTACCCCATTAGGCATTCCGGGGAAACGTAGTAAGGGATAATGGTATGGAAATGAGCAACAACGAATAGTCATGAATTTTTTTTTTTTAAAAAAAAAATGAAACGTGCGCTGTGTGGATGAAAACCCAATGGGTGTTTTTTTTTTTTTTTTTTGACGGTTAATATTTGTACCGGTTACATCATCTAGTTTCATAAGACGTTCTGACCAACTTTGCACGGACTGTTTATTCCTCCTGATCGCATGGTTTTGTTCATAACTTTGCATATACATGCACATGCCTCTTTGTTTGTGGACACTCGAAATGAATAAACCAGGCAATTGATAGATCCTATGCTATTTTGAATGCACTGGTTTCAATCTTCTGATGAATCTTGTATGGTGTGATTCGGTCATTGGGTGAAACCATCTCATGACGGCAATAACTTTTTCCACATGAAACTCATTTTTTTTTGGTATGGTGGCTTTATCCAAATCCAGTGAGCTCCGTAACTCCCGAAGAGTGGTTGGTGTGTTAGGCGATTTGCTAAGCAAATTAGCCCGATCTTGAGCTTTCCCTCTGCATTTCCTAATCTCGCTCATAAATACCCTTCCCATGTATATGGACTCTTGCAGATAGTACAAAAACCTAATTTGTAAAAGGATTTTAATGTGCACGGTGAAAATTAACCAGTTTAATTAAAAGTTGATCCTTTTTATCATTCGCCAAACAATCTCTAATGTGATCTCATTATGAGTGCGATCTAGAACGTAAACTTGCACCTACTAAACCTGACTGGTTGTTCATACCCGATTCCAAAATTGCTTGACTAACTTTTAGTTTTCGATTTTGATCACGTCAATTTCGACGGTTCAAGCTTCCCATCAGATCATTATATCATAAACAATATGAAGGTTTTATGTGCTAACAAGTTTACGAACAGCAAAGTTCAAAAAGTTCCTTCCTTCCTTGACTCTATGAATTTCTTCGTAATTTACGATGAATGCATAATGTTTGGGGAAAATCAAAATAGTGATTTCTCCCTGGTTTCCAACATTGACCGACTGTTGATCCATTCTATTCCTAAATTAAACTATTTAAATAAAAACCGGTTTTAATGAATTCGACTATATAAAGTTACGTTCATCCGCATATTTTTTTTTCAGAATAATAAATATTGTTCACAGAAAAATTATAAAATAATCGTTCCTTCACAGAGGTTAGAAAATTTTCCGTTATCTATTTTCACTTGACCACCACTCATTACCGAGATCATTCGAACTTATAAAATTCATATAAAAAAATGAAGGGAAAACTATCGCCACTTCGAAGAAAATTTTTTTCTCTCAGATCATTAAAAGAATTTTTTCTATCACTTTTCTCTCATTCGCAGAACGCAATGGGCAACAGCAAGTCATCCGGAACAAAAGGGAGTTTTCCGAGTGTCCAAGATTTTCGATATGTAAACGGTAGACGGTATCATAGTGAATCAGATACCCCCTATATATTATCTTCGGATTTAGAGGAAATTGATCGACAGCAATTGCAACATTATTGCTGTAAGCATATTTTCAGGAGTAATGTGTCGGCTCCCGTAGAACAGAAGTTGATCGAAGGATCTAAAGTGCTGGATGTTGGGTATGTACCGGCTTACAGCTCGCGAATTATGTTGATTGATCCAGTCAAAAATTAAAATCTCTCGTTAATAAAGATGTGGAACAGGCATATGGGTACTCGAATTATCCACCGAATACCTAATGTCGGAATTCATTGGGGTAGATATGTCGCCCGTGTTCCCAATACAAATCAAACCTTTAAATTCTACCTTCATCAAAGCCAACGTGCTACACGGGCTACCATTTTCGTCAGATGAATTTGACTATGTTCACCTTTCGTTCATGAACGGTTGTTTTACCGATGATCAATGGCAAAATATTGTGGTATGGGAATATTGACTCCTTTCCTTTATTTTTGTTTATCGGGGGTTTTTTTTTTTCGATTATACTTATTTCTTACCGCTCACTTTTCATTTTAAATTAGATCCCCGAATTAATCCGTGTACTCAAACCTGGTGGGTGGTTAGAGCTCTATGATGTTGACGTCTTTACTCATAAGGGCGGTCCGTTAATTAACCGCCTTACCGCAAGCGTACAACAACGAATATCTAGTGTTGGCCTAAATTCAAGAGCTCCCAATCTATATAAACAATGGGTATCATCTCATTCGTGTCTCAGGGACATTGAGGAAATCGTGTTTTATCCCTATGTGGGAGAGTGGAAGGGCTATGTGGTGGATGGAGATGATGATAACATGGATTTAAATGGAAAGGAGAATATAAAGAGCAGATATGATGTGGGACTTGGAATACTGCTCAAAGAGATGTTTAAATTATTTTATATTACTGAATCGGAAAACTTGTCACAGTTCGCAGGGGTCTCAAAAGAGGAATATTTGGAAATGGTAGAAGAATGTTTTGAGCGGGAAATGCCGGAATATGACTCGAGGGTGAAATTTATGAGAGTGATAGGTAGGAAAGATGTGACGGAGATATGACGAAAAAATCATAGGTCTCTACGTTAGTCTATTTCAAAATTATCGCGATCCCTATTGAAGGTTTCTTCAATATGTTATTTATTCATTAGACGATTTATTCTTAATAGAAAATTGGGAAAAGTACATATTTATTTTCATAAGATAGTGTATAGTTTTATTTCAAATTTCTCTCCCGGTTAATATTTAAATGATTAAAAAAAAAATGCATGCATGCATGTCTTTTGTTACACTGTATATTAGACGACATCAGAACTTCGAAAAAAAAAAAAAAAATCAACTTTCCCAAGTAAATTTGTCACGCTCGACGAAAATTTCATTTCAGAGTTTGTGCATTACGTGAGTGAATTCCATAAATTAGGTCTTTATTTACACTGTGTTAAAAATAGTTACATTTATGGTACCTGGCCTGGCCTGGGAATTCTAAATTCTAATTAAACAAACAAACATACAATACGTACAGCGCATATTAATAAAAATTACATACATTAAAATATGTTGTATATTGTTTTAAAGTACAAATGTACCATATTTGTGTGATTTTCTTTAATTTCTTGCCGAGAACAAGTTATTTAAAATTAGGATTATAGTATCAGAATATTAAAGCTTAAAATTTAATTGATCTGCGATTTTCGTGAGACATTTAAGGATGCGAGAAATCAGTCTTCTCATAATGAATACGTATAGTGTCATCATGCTGTTGTACAAGAAAGTCTTAGTACAATTGATATTGTTGAGCATTTGAACCGATCGATAATTTGCCCTTTGTTCTCGTATAATTAGTTCATTTCCATACACGTTTAATATGAGAAAATTGCAAGAATAAGAGAGACTATACCTTAAATCTGTAGGTATTTGCAATCTTTATATCATTTATAATTTAAGATTGCGTACAATCTATTTTATCGAGAGTAGACATTTTATCTTTTAGATAACATGTTTGATGGGCATTACAAAAAAGGGTAAGACCCCACTTAACAGATGTCAGGGGTTCTCTTTACTTAAACCTATGTAGAGTTGATGATGTGGACAAAAATTTAGGAGAAATAGATAACGCTATCAAGAAGCTCGAGAGCATGGACCTAAATACGCGATGCATCAATTAATCTCTTTTAAACTGAGAAACCTTTCTTCTTTAATAAAGATGATCTTTTTACCCAATTCGAATTGTGTTCGAGTTGGCATTCATATTTGACCTATTATTATCTAATCATGCCCAGGAGCAAGTGTTACAACTAACAAAACTAACCCTAGAGGTTATTTGGTCAGGAAAATAAAAAAGGGATGTTCGTGAAATCACTGCATTGACACTATACCTATTAGTCAGGCTATAACAACATTACATTATTCTGACTATTTGATTACGTGAGATTAGTAATCAAGCAAGTTCAACTCTATGAACTATTTACAATCAGTCCGTTTTTGGATGTTCTGGTGCGGATAGGCATTAAGAGTGTTATTCGTGAGCAACTATATGGGGTTAAAGACGATTCTTTATTGATTTATCATGTTCACTGTATCTATCAATTATAATTATACATTACAGATGATAGCAAGTTGTGCGTCGAACTTTTAAAGCTGCCATTGGAACTGTGTGTTTAGTTAACCGAAGGTATCGGCGAGATTATAAGTTATAGATCGCGTTCAAGAAATAAAGAAAGAATCAAAAGTAGCGATGTTCAACACTGAAATTTATAGATATATTCATTCACGAATATCGGTTAGTAAAAAAAACGAGCATTTGTTCGTCAGAATCATTTTTTGATAGGCCTATGCCAACTCTTAGGATATAATGCCGGGGTTTAAGATGTAGCAAGGGTGTTTAACGTTCTCTATCAAATTAAAATCTGTAAACGTTAAAAAGCAAACTATAGTTTCAAATTTTATTACTTATGCTGAAAAAAAAAAAAATGAAAAATGACATTATTCACTTTTTAAAATTTTTTATTCAAAACAAATATTTCAAACTTACTTGTTTGTTTTTTAAAAATACAGTATTGTAAGAAAATTAGTAAAAAATACTGTATACTGTATATACTGTATATTTATTTAAAATAATTTTTAAAAATCAATGTAAAAAACACGTTATATTGTAGAATATGTTTTATCATTGCATTCCTTTATATTTTTAATACTATAATTTAAAATTTTAATAACGAAATGACCATTGTTATTCTATAAAATTAAAATTAAAAAGATTTCAAAAATATGTTTATTTAAATTAAAATGTTATGAAATATTTGATAAATATGATTTTAAAAAATTTAGAAAATTTATATTTAAAATATTTAAAGCATACAAATACTTTTTTTTATAAAAAATAGTTTTTAACAAAAATAAAAAAATATCAATTTATTATTAATTAATATATAATATGTAAAAACTTTTTTTTTTTCGCTTTTTTCTTTTTTATAAAAAAAATTTATAAGTTATTTTTTTTATACTAATATTAAGAATAAAAAAATTTTTTTTGTTTCAGTTTAAATTTAATAATTGTTTCTTTTCAATTTTAAGTTTTAATAATAAATTTTTTCAATACAAAAATTAATATTAATTATATAGATTAAAAATTGAGGTTTTTTTTATAATAAAAAATTCTTTTATTAAAATCAATACAATATTTTTATTTAAATTTATTATTATTTTTTTTAATATAAGTAAACATTATTTATTTATTTATTTGTATATTATTGTAATAATTTTTAATCTTAATTATATCACAGAACCCATATTATATTTAGTAACCTGAATATCCCAAAAAATATTTAATTTGTTTCTAATAATATACAAGTTTAAAATATGTTTTCAAATAATTATAAATAAGAATTTTAACTATTCTGTATTTGATTCCATTTGATTCCAACTCTTATAGTAAATTTAATAGATAGGTTATAATTTATTTATGTTTTTATATACTGTATATACAAGTTTATGTGAGTCTATACAATTTCAATTTTCAAAACCATAATTATAAAATACATATATAATTAATACACTATTAATTAATTACTATAAATAAAATATAATCAAATTAAAATTATTAAATTATAAAATATATAGTGGTATACAAAAGTTTTTAAATTTTTTTTAATATATTTAACTTAATAAAAACTTATTTAAATTAAATAAAAATTTAAATATAAATACTTGAATATTATAAAATTATTTTTACTTATAATTAATTTATAAAATTATATTATTAAAAATTTTTTTAATAAATTTTTTTAAATAAAATTTTTATATTATATATTAATTTTATAACTTAATTTTCATAAAATTGAACTTTTTTATATATGTTTTTATATGTTTTTTCATAATAAATAAGACAAAAATAATATTACTAATTAATATAAAAATATTTTAATTAAGATTATTTATTAATACTAAAGATTTATACTAAATTTTTTGTATTTTTTAGATTAATATTTATTAAATAATAATATATTTTTTAATTTTTCAAAAACAATTTCTAAAAACTTATAAGTATCACTATATATATATTTTGTTATTTTTTTTTTTATTATTTTTTTTCTTTATATTAATTTAAATACTTATTGCATATTTTTAAAAATTAAACCTAATATAAATATAAATATATTTTTATATTTTTATATTATTATTTTTTTTTTCCATAGTCAAACAAGTGTGTATGTTTATTAAATCTTTACAGAAAACAAATAATGTATAATATATTGTATTGCATAAACTATCTACTGCCTTGAATATCCATCTTAAACTATATCTCTAGATATAACTTTGGAGATGAAAAAAGTTGCTATCTTAACCTTCTATTCACTTTTGGAATATAAAGGTAAGAATCATCATCCGCAGTTCATCACTACAGTTCATTTGAACAAAATCTAGACTACTTATTATATTCCCAACCACTTTTTTCTTTCTCTAATCCATCTCCAAACCGCTATTTCGCTTTGTACTTGACTTTGCTTAGGCTCTTCATTTGTGACTTCTTCTTGATCTGCAGGGTCTTTTGCTTCGTAATCTTCTTGTTCTTCTAATCCTGCTTTTTGCCTTTTTCGGGTCTTCGTGCAGTTACTTTTCCAGTACTTCTTCATTTCTGGCTTTTTTCCTGAGTCTTGTAGCCTGAAGTATCTGTCATTCCATATCTTCTTTCTAATTTGTTTACAAATTGATCTTGACAGTTTGTATAATAGGAATTTTGCTTCGCCCTTTCTGACTTTGATTTTTGCCATCGCTGAGCTCCATTCCATGATGTTTTCTTTTTGAAATAGTCCAAGGATGAAGTTTATAATATCTTTTCCTTGAGAAAACTTGTCTATGTATCACTTTGTTAGCAATACACTGATGTGGATTCTTGAGCCTTGATTTTTTCTTTCCTGAGTCTTATTTAGCCATTTGTTTAGTACTAGATCTTTAGTCTTATTTCAAATTTCTTTTTAGATTTCCACAATATTAAGACATGAAAGGAGATGTTCAAGAGATTCCTTTTCTTTTCTACAATATATACATTCAGTTAAGTTTCCATATTCCTTGGAAAATCGTTTGTTTATATTGTTCAGAGTTGAAAGCTCATTGTACATCATTTTAATTCAGAAGGATTTTTTTTTAGTTTTCTTTAATGATGTTTCTAAGGCCTCTCCTATTCTGTTTGCCTTCCAGAATTCTCTCCAGTCAAAATTTTCATGGTCATTAATCTCTTTTAATTATCTTTTCTATATTCTGTTTTGACCCACCCATTTTATTAAGATATTTCTTTTGTATAATTCCTTAACAAAGTCTCTTGCTCCTATATTTATGAGTATTTCATTCCAGCAAAGTGTTATTAGGGCTTCTTGTCGGTACCACTTGGTCCATGTAATTTCAGGTTCTTCTTTGGCTTCCTTTGCTAGCAGATCTATCTTGTTGTTATTCACGTCATTACTATGTGCTTTGACTTTGGTAATTTGAACTGTAATTTGTTTCTTCTGTATTAGATCAATACATCTCATCTATAGTTGCCAGTTCTTGCACTTTCTGTTCTGTTTTCCCGTATCTTTGATCTGCAGATTCTGTAGCTTTTGGAGAGTGCTAATACATGTACTATTATTCATTCTAATTTCTACTTGACTTTTTTGTGGTATAACTAAGAGTGTCAGAATGATTGCTACTAGTTCTGCTCGCAATGCTAAAGGCCAGTTGTCTACTTCTGCTTGAAAAAATCTTTCAGGATTTGATCCCTTCTCTTGTAACCATGCTGCATCCATTCTTAATGTCAGATCTTTCGTCTTTCCAAATGATCTATTTGTATAGAAGCAATAGGTTTGTTGGTAGTTATTGTATTTGTTTATTCTATACTCTTCAACAAGTGCTTGAATGTATTCTGGAGAGCAGATATGGTTTTTAATCATTTGTATTCCAAAGTCTTTTATTTCAACCACTCTTATACAGTCATTGGTAATCCCTTATTCTATAAAATCCTCTATTGCTTTCTTGGCTTGGTTTTCCAGAACATGAAGACTAATTGGGATTTCTAATTCAGAGAACTTTCTTAGAGTTGGATATTGATTAAGAATTTCCACTGCTAGGGGCTTGCACTGTGATCTTTTGTTGCCCCCAATGGGATTTATTTGATCCAATAGATTTCTTGTTAAATCCATAGAATTCGGTCGTGGTATGGCTTCTATTCTTTGAAGTTTAGTAGAGTCTAGTTTGGATTTTCTTTTAATATGATAAACTTCTGTTTGGGGGGTCTTTGAGGCCTGTATTGTCTTTACTTCTATACCATGTGATTTCTTTCTCGTCTGTATCTTTGGCTATAATTTTCCAACTCCATCGACATCGGTCACTGCTTAGATTTTTTGAGAAAAATCTTCTATCTTGTTCTTTCCAATTCCAGTCTTGCCATTTCTCATTTAGAACTCTATATTCATTTGCATATAAAGATTTGACCATTTTAAACCAGGCTGATATGGGTCCTTTGCTGGAATTAGATAGGATCTGTATAATCTTCTATAGTAGTATTGTCTTTGTATCTTTGTTAATAAGTTGGTCCATAAACATAATGTTGTGTTTTCTTAGCGAAGGGACTGCCTTGAAATATAATTTTGTATCATTGAGCTTATTCTTAATTGACAATGACCCTCCTTTCCAATCAAAGCTGTTTGACCATCGAGAATTGAATATTGTGATTCCCAAGTTGTTAGCTGCTTTAAGTACCTGAGCTGAGAAGTTTTTGAAGCATTTGAAAGATCGGGTGATTTTGCTGGTCAGTATGTTACTAGGCTCCCAATTGTAGATCTGGGCTTGTTTGAGATGAATTAGTGTGAATATGCTGAATGATCCTATATCATTAAATTTGTTAAACAAATTTGAGATCCGATTTTCCGCTTAAATCTCTTCAATACTCTTTATGTTGTAGATCTTTTTGTGATGTATGGCTGAGTTTGGAATTGTTGAAACTATTTCTGCAGCTTGTTTGAGTGCCTTTCTTAATTGAACTGTCAGTTTATTACAGATATTTTGTTTAATGAAGCAGTGTTGCATTCTGTATTCTATCCAAGGGATCAGGACTCTGTTTAGAATATATTCCACTTGCTTATCTATAATCTTTTTTCTTTTCAAAATTGGTACCACTGCTTCGATTTCTTGTCTGATTTGGTAAACTGTGTCTTTGATATGCTTCTTACTTCCTATCCATATACCTAGGAATCTAGTGAAGCTGTTACAGTTGCTTTCCATCACTTCTTGTTGATCAATTCCTATATGTACTGAATTTGGTTCTTTGTTGTGGCTATTGATTGTAATCAGGACCGATTTGCTCCCGTTAATTTGAGAATCATTGGCTGCATAAAATCACTTTGCTCTTTTCAGAATATTTTCCATGTCCTCTGCTGATCTAGCAATCCATGTAGTATCATCCATGTATGCTATTGCTGCTTGATGAATTGTAAGGTATTGTGCATCCTCTTCTTTGCTTAGATCGGACTTCCATTTGCAATTCATGGTGTATCCTAGTTGAATATTATTCTGGATTTCATATAGTAGCGGATTATAGAAGATATGCCATAGTAAGGGAGAAATAGTTTCACCTTGATTTATGCCATCTTCTGCAACTATTCTTTCAGTTATACTCATGTCTGTAATTATTTGAATTGATCTGTTGATGAAAAGATCCAGAATTAATGTTATAAGGTTTCCTGGAACTTTAATTCTTAAAAAAGCTCTTCATAGCATGTCTAAACTAATTGTGTCATATGTTTTGGCTGTGTCTTGAAATAAAATTTACAGTTCTTTATTCTTTTCTCAAGCTTCTTCACAGATGTTGTTTATTAGGTATATAGGCTCTGATGTACATTTTCCTGGTAAGTCAGCAAAGTTTGGTCCTTTTAGAGTGTTGTGTATTTTACATATGGCTGATAGTCAGTTTGTAATTATCTTGATGAAACACTTTCTCAAGACATCTAGGAGTATAATAGGTCTAGTATTGCTTAAAATACCTTGTCATTTTTTTCCTTTTGAGATTGGGTAGAGTAGACTTTCTTTCCATGTTGCTGGAGTTATACCGTAGGTTAAGTATATATTTATAAGTTGACACAGTATTCTTCTTTCAAGTGTTCCTAGGTTTTTAAGCATCTTGTATTTGATTTTATTAGGTCCAGCTGCTTTGTCATTGGATAGGTCTTTGAGTGCTTCTTCTAATTTGTAATCTGAGATTGTGTTATCCATGCTGTTGTACCATTCTTCTTTTATTTCATTCAGGGGTTCGTATTGTTTTTTCCATCTCTCATCTAG